ATATCTTCACGTACTGAAAATCAAAAATCCCAAGACCCATTTAAAATACTTGTTTTCACTGCTGGAAGGCACATGCTTGTGTTTTTACATGTGCAAGAGAGAGAAAGAGAGCACGAAAGCACCTTCCCCTGCAGTGGGGCACGGTCACACAGCAGTCCTTTCCTTCCATTTGACCATCCCATCAGGGTTGGGGACACACTCCAGAGCTGCCATCCCCACACTCCTGGCATGATTTTCAAGCTGCTGGGGCCACTGGGGTTTCAGCACAGCTGGCCACGTGGGGTCTGGCTCCCACTGGACAGGATTTAACTGCTGCACAATGGAGCTGGCCCCCCAAGACTCATTTTTTAATTTAACTTAATTTATTAATTAGTTATCTTAATTTGACCAGAGAGGGACAGAGTGAGAAAAAGAGAAAGAGAGAGGGAAAGTGAGAAAGTAAGCCAGCAGGTCTAGGACTTGAATCGCGGTCAGTCATGTGGGAGTCCAGTACCCTTAACCACCATGCCACCTGCCAGCTCCACAGGACTAATTTTTAAGCCTAAAACTTCAGGTTGTGGAATACACAGTATGCCAAATTTGTAAAAATACATATTTGTGGGCTAGGAGGTGCACCCTAGACCAGGCAGCTTGCATTCTCACTTTCCCTCTCTCTCTCATTCTGTTCCGCTCTATTCCAATTTAAATAAATAAAGTTAAATAATTCTTTAAAAAAAAAAAAATGTTAGTTGCATGGGGCCAGCAGATGGCGTAGCAGTTACATTGCTGGAATCTCACATGGCCAACCAGTTTCAGTCCCAGACCTGGCAGCTTGAAAATCCTGCTGGGCGCATGTGCGTGCATGCCCAAGACCACAAGAGGAGACTGGAGGAGAAGGGACTGCAGCGTGGCCATCTCCTCTGGGGGATGATTTCTCACTTTCTTTCTCATTGTCTCTGTCCCTCTCTCCCACAAGCACACAAGTCCTAAAGTAAAACCTCTACCAAAAAAAAAAAAAATTTACCTAAGTATTTGTAAACATTTACAGACATATTTTCTTATACACACTTACACTGTTGAATATAGAGAAATAAACAGAAAAATATACCCCAGTTCATAAGTCTTATTTGGTGGGGCAGGCCAAGTACAGAAGAAAAAATGGAAAGAGTAAAAATAAATAAGTAAGAGAAGATTTGTTTTACAGGCCAGGAGCAGCCCGGCAGTTAAGAGCTGTGCATATGAAGCCAGATCCTACATGAGGAGCCAGGTTGAAATCCTGGCCCACTGCCTGGAAAACACACTGGGTGCATGTGCATGCCTGCCCAAAGTGCTGAAGGGAAAAAAGGAGGAAGGAAAAAAGATGCCGTTTGACCATGCTCCACTGAGGTGCACTTACTTTCTCGCTCTCTGGTGAACACACGTGCACTCCATCAGTAACACAATTTTTTTCATTTTTATGATTATTTTTACAAGATGGCATGTTTTTATGCATGGACTATAACTACTCTAAATATTAAAAATATATACATTGTTGGGGGCCAGTGGCATAGTCGTTAAGGCACTGGACTCCCTCAGGGCTGACCATGGTTCAAGTCCCAGGTGTGACAGCTTGTTTCCTTTCTCTCTCTCTGTTCAAATTAAAATATAATAAGGTGGCATGGTGGGTAAGAGTGCTAGACTCCCACATGGCCGACTGTGGCTTTTATCCCAGACTGACAGCTTGCTTTCTCACTTTCCCTCTCTTTCTCTCTCTCTTTCACTCTGTCCTTCTCTAATCAAATTAAAATAAACTTAAATAAATTTTTTTTAAAAAGATCATTCTTTAAAAAAAAAAAAAGAATAGAGACCAGCAGATGGCATAATGGTTACATCACTGGACTCCCACATAGTCAACAACAGTTTGAGTTCTGGACCCAGCAGCTTAAAACACACCAGGCACATGTGTGTGCATGCCCAAAATCCTGAGAAGAGACTAGAGGAGACGGGACTGTGGTGTGGCCGTGCCCCTGGGGGGTGATTTCTCCCTTTTTATCTGTCTCCGGCAAGCACACACACCCTATAGCAAAAAATCTCTTTAAATAAATAAACAAAGAAGAAGACTAAATAAAATAAGTAATTCTTTACCATAAGTAAATAGGGGCTAACAGGTGGCACGGGGTGGTTAAGGGTTCTGGACTCCCACATGGCCAACTGCAGTTCGAGTCCCGGACTTGGCAGCTTGCTTTCTCACTTTCCCTCTCTCTCTCTCTGTCCCTCTCCAGTCAAATTTAAATAAATAAATAAAGTTCAATAAAATAATTATTATAAAAATAAAATAAATACATTGTTAAACAGGCTCAATTTGGCCAGTTAAACATTCTTTCCTCCTCCTAAATCTCTTTTCTCCCACACTTTGTAATCTAGATAATTAACAAAACCTCTCAGTGCAATTTCCATCCTTTCAACACAGTTTAAAAACTGAGGAAGAGGGGCTGGCAGGTGGCGTGGTGGTTAAGAGTGCCGGACTTCCACATGGCTGACTGCAATCCAAGTCCCGGACCTCTCACTCTCACTTTCTCTCTCTCACTCTGTCCCTTTCTGGTCAAATATAAATAAATAAATAAATTTAATAAGATAATTCTTTTTGGACCAGCAGTTGGCATAATGGCTATGTCACTGGACTCCCATGTAGTTGACCGTGGTTCAAGTCCCAGACTCGGTGGCTTAAACTCACACCAGGCACGTGTGCATGTGTGCCCAGGATCCTGAGAGGAGAATGAAGGAGAAATCCTCCTCCTGTCTCTCTGTCTCTTTCTGGCGAGTGCACGCACCCTAGAACAAAAAACCTCTCCAAAAAAAGAAAAAAAAAGATAATTCTTTTTTTAAATTTACTTATTTATTTAATTTCATTTGCTATTATATTTTTCAATTTAACCAGAAAGAGACAGAGAGAGAGAAAAGGAAAATGAGAAAGTAAGCCACCAGTTCCGGGACTTGAGCTGCGGTTGGCCATGTGGGAATCTAGTGCCTTTAACCACCAAGCCACCTGCTGATCCTAATAAAATAATTCTTAAAAACAAAACAAAACAAAACAATTAAAGTAGAGGGGTCAGCAGGTAGCATGGTGGTTAAGGCACTGGACTCTCATATGGCCAAGTGCGGTTCAAGTTTCAAACCTGGTGGCTCACTTTCTCTTTCTAGTGAGCGCATATGCACTATAGCAAATTAAAAAGTAAGAATAGAGACCGTCAGATGGCATAATGGTTACATCGTTAGATTCCCATGGAGTCAACTGTGGTTCAAGTCCTGGACCCAGCAACTTAAAATTTATGCCAGGTGCATGTGCATACATGCACCTGGCATAAATTTAAATATGAAGGGACTTCAAAATGTTTGTGGAAAAATGGAATTAAGTATAACTTTAGTTTGAGGCAAAACTTTTTTGAAATCTATGCATAGTCTTTTCATAATATGCATTTTCTATGAATTTTTTGAAGACTTCATCTTATTAAAATGAAGTTATATATATACCCACACATGCGTATATATACACCCATATATATATACGTATAAAGAATAGGACAAATATATCTAGTTATACTCTTAAATTTATTTATAAGTTAATTCTTTTTTTTTTTGGGGGGGGGGGGGGTTTTTTTTTTTAGTTTTTTTTTTTTTTTTTTTTTTTTGGGGGGTTTTTTCTTTCGGGGGTGTGT